TTTTTATTATTATTATTATTTTTGACCATTATTTCTTTTTCTTTGTGGTTCAGCTGGTGCTTCCAGACAAAGCTTGTCAGCCAGAGGAAATGAACCACCAGCTAGTCAAAGTTTTCCTGACCGATCACAAAGTAGTGATTCGGATACACGGCCAGACACCCATGACAGAGGTCGGCGTCTTCGAAAACGAACTTCGTGCTCCTCAAGAAATCGTGAGGAGTTGCAGAGTAGTGAAGAAGAATATATTTTATCAACAAGTGATGACACAGATGACAGCCAGATTTCATCAAGTATTAGTTCTTCTGACAGTGCTAGTGAAGTTGGCAGTGCAGGTGCTCATGCCGATCAGTTGTTAACATCTTCTGCTGGTGTGACCTTACCAGTTCCCAGTGGTAGCACAATTATACCCTCATCAGATAATATGCTACCTCAGGCTCCAAAAGCAGAAGCTGAAAGTAATAGCAACTCAAGCAATGCTCTCCATTCTAATCATTCTGCGCAATCTGCTCATGCAGAGTCAGCTAGTAGTCAACCACCTGGCTTCCGGGAGCATCTTGGTGCTAGACCCAAACAGATCCAACAATCAGCATCAAGAGAGCCTGTGCCTGAAATCCCAGTGTTAAATGATGGCCACTGTAGTGATTCAGAATCCTCAGACAATGAGCAATTGCTTGCTCTACAACAAGGGCGCACCTCCTTTAATCAAATTCTGCAAAGAATACAAGAACTAGAAAGGAGGGAACAATTGTCAAGAGGACAGAGATCTACCACAGAAAGAGGAAACCAATATGGTAGGGAGATTCAGGAAGCTCTGAGAAGACCACAGCAAGAGCAAGAAGAAGCCATTCCAAGGTCACAGCTTTACAGGTTGTGGTTCCCTTGTTGCATGCAATACTATCCATGTTCTTCCTGTCACTTAAGAGTTTGTGATAAAGCTGGTCCTGTCACTCACCTCATGTGCTCTCACTACATGTATCATGATCAGAATGCTGAGCAACAGGTATTATTTTGTAATTTTTCTTTTTACCTAATATTATTGTTTAAGTACCCCTGGTAATAGATGTACATACTATTGTCTGATCTTTGCATTCACCCTGAAAACTGAAAGACTCTGATTGTTGTGGTCAAACCATACATTTAGGTGCCATTGAGTCCCAATCAGGGCTCAAGGAGGTTGATGAAATCATGGTGAAGTTCAGTCTACTCAAGAAATTATCAATACTGCTTTTCATTTGTTGTCTTTACGATAAATACATCTATTATATAGACACGAGTGTTTTACTGGAAAATACACCACTCGTAAAATTCATAAAAACTACAGCCGGGACCCGAGTGGTTTATTTTCCATAATTTCACAAGTGAGTTTAGTGATGACGTAATTTTGGTAATTTCCCTTTGAAATTTGTAGGCGTCTTGCATCTTTCGAATTTTACTTACACATTTTTCAAAGCTTTGCTTATATTTTGTCATTGTAGAGCCCTATTCAGCTCAGTGTTATTTCTCAAGATTATTGTAAACTGCAATGTCTTATATTGCTGTACTGTAAATTTGAGCTGTCACAACTATTTTTTGGGGAATAAAAATCTATTATTTTATCGATGTCTTTTTGTCTATATAATAAAAAGAACATTGCACAACGGCTTGAAGATATGAATTTTATTTACTTGTGGCAAATATTGTTTTGCCACATATCTTCACGCAACCGTGTAATATCCTCTATGTATATCATTGATGTACATGTATCTTAGCCTACATTTATAGGGCCTTATGTAGTATGCTAGATTAGCATTGGAAGGTGCAAAAAGGATTACCATTATAATCTTAAAGTTACTGTTCCTAAAGACTGTAGCTCAACCACATTATCCATAGGAATTTCTGTGATACAAGAACTTGATTCCAGGCCAGTTGCATAAGACCTTATATCAGACACAACTGCTAACATCTGGTTTGACTTTTCTCTATGTCAGACATTAGCCGTTACATCAGTTGATGTTTAAGCTTATTTAAGTGGTCTGAGGGGCTACCAACATTTTTACTTTCCTTAGATGAATGATTGCCTATAAATATCCAGTGTTATTATCTTCCACTAAAGCTAAAACAAACTAACATAACTAGAAAATGTAAACACACCTAAGAGCAACCATAAACTTCCCGTATCTTCATGCCAGCCATTCAACGTTTCTCACCCCCAAAGGTTTTGTTGTTATTAAAACTAATTGGTCATATCATCTTAGCTGTTGAATCGAGCTGTCAAACAAAGTGTCCTGGCAATTTTTGTAGGGCACCATATTTTATTTTTATTGTGTAGAACAAATGAAGATTCTTACTGCTCATTCGGTTACCTTGAAAATCTTTAGAATATTTTGAAATAGATCCAGTCACACTGATGGTCAGCTCACTATGATAAAAATATACTGCATTTTATCCTTTTTCAATTTTGTATTTCATCAAAGACGGGATCAACAAGAACCGTTCTTTTAGGGTATCTTTCTACAAAAAGCTGAACCACAGCATTGTAGTCAATGGGCTTTTCGTATTGAATGTCCATCATAGCCAAGCCTGACAGTTTTCCCATTGTCATGGTGCTGTGTAAATATCATTTGACAAGCTTCAAAGTACTGTTTGCTCACTTGTTGTCAGCTGAAGTGACTGGCTTTATTGAGCAGCAGAGGCTTAACTTGGTTATAAATTTATTGCATTTAAGGTTGACTGTATTTATTTTACATTTTTACAATTTTTTGACGTTAGCTGTTTTAATTTATTTTGGGGGAACCCAAACCCCCGCTAGATCTGCCCCAGGCTCACTAGTTGTTACTAAATTAAGGTACACCTGTATACAGGGAATGGAAGTATATAACTTGGGGCAACCAGCAGTTGTGACCTGGAGCTACTTAAAACTCTTGCATGAGCTTAAAATTTACGGAGGGTGAATTAATCCTCTAAACTGGGCTGACAGTTGGCTGAAGATATAGTGGATCAAACCTGCTGCATACAATTATTATTTCCAGTTTGTCTCTTTCATAGTTAAGAAGGAGTGTGTCACATTTTAAGAACATATTTTCAATGTATTTCCTTCTTGTAGAATGACGAAGGAAAGACTCCTAGCCATAACTGTGTCTTGTGTAACAGATGCTTTAACCCAGAAGAGGAAACTCACTTGTGTGAACCAGATGAGTGCTGCGCATGCTCAGGAGTGAGTTTAAACATTTTTTGTAACACTGATTTCTGTTAATTCATTAAATTTGGCTCTAGAAGGGGTTGTATGAGTTTGACTTTGACTTTGACTTTCAATGACATGAAAATTAATTAATTCGTGCAATAATGGAGAGCAGAGAGCTAAAATAAATATATATAATTTTTAAATCTTGAACATAACTGTACACTTAAAAGTTTGACATGATATCGTGACTGTTCTGTTCTCCACTTCTGCATTTTCGTGAAAGCATTTTCAGGGGTGTAGTGTGAGATTTTGAAGATGTACGTATGTGGGGAACAAACTTTTTAATGCCCAAGGTGGCCCAGCCTAGAGGGGTCCTGGGGGGCATATTCCCCTTGAGAACTTTTTAATATAGGGTCTCTGAAATGCCATTTCAAACGTTTTCCACACAACATTTTCATTGAATTAATATGCAGGAAAATGTGGTTATTTGTTTATTTTACCCATCTCTAGTGTTGTTGGTAAGGTACAGAAGGAAGGAAGGAAAAGGCCAGTGATGCCATCAGAATCATGGAATAATAAAAGGATAATAATGGGAATACTAAAACAAAGACAGCAATGTAGTGCAAAAAATAAATGTATGCTATGCCCCTGATTTTCTGATTTTCTTTAACAAAATAATGTGACATAAATCACAAGAAATTCTACCATTATCACTTGTCTCCTTTTGGGTAGCATTTTTGAATTGTGCAGTCAAAAGTGTAAGCATACATTTATCATATGAACACCAATGAAATACCAGCTAGGTGAGCTTTTGCACGAAAACATGATGTCTACACACATGGAAATAACATGTTATCATGTGAAAAGATCGCTGTTGCTATGGCAACATGATAAATTGCGCCTATTGTGGCAAGACACTATAAAAGTGAATTTCATTGGTGTTTATAAAATAAAATAATAGAACATTACTTGGCAGCTTGGAGATACAAAATTTCTCTTCAACTTTAAAAAAATGTTTTGCAAGCAAGCTTTGCTTTGCTCATTTGGAAATATTTTCAACTCTTGAAGAGAAATTTTGAACAATGTATCTCCTCGTGGCCATTAGAATATCCTTTCTATATATGAAGTGTATTGTGTACGCTGACGCAGTGGGCCTTGTGGCATGCACATCGTATCTTAGTGAAGCTGTATAATAGACTATATATTGCCTCTGACAAACATAAGAAATGTCATTAGAGATGGGCAAAAATAGGATTTTAATTGAACAGTTAAGAGTGTGTAACTGAGCAGAAGAATGGGTAGCACCAGAATTGAAGGAACCCCCTCTGGAAATTTTTCCCTTTCCCTCATTAAAGGACACTGGGAGTTTGTGTGGTTGTGTGGTTAGAGTGATGTACTTGTAATCCAGAGGCCCCGAGTTCAAGTTGTGCCCAGTGGCCACTAGCTGGATTTGTTCTTGGTAGTTCCAGGTTCGAATCCTAATGGCCACACTTACAAATAGCCAACCAGTTCACGTACTCCTACCATCTGAAGGCTGTTGTAATAATATTGTAATATTAATTTCCTTGTTATTTTAAGTTGTTGGATGCATTCAGTGGGTGCCAGATATTACCTTGTTCACACAAGATCCATGAAGATTGTGCCATCGCTATGATACAAAATGGCATGTAAGTCATTACCATTACATTCTTTTCTGTCTCAGATATCTTGTTCACTGCTTTATATAGTACACAACGTCACTCATCCAGTTTACTTATGCTTTATAATGACTGTGCTTCAAATTACCCTGAGCTTAACTCATTCTATAAATATCTATCTTTAGAGATCAGGGGAAAAAATTCCCAAAAATGTGGATTACTTCCGATCATTACCAAGTTTGGCACACAGGAAATAGACAGATTGAGCCATATACCTGGGTAGTTTCAGCTCTTGACCCTGAATTTGCTCATCACAGCATTTTTTTTGAAAATGGTAAAAATTAAAAATGGCTGGCGATGTGGGAAAAGTTTACTATATGCTTTTAG